AGACGGGAGACACATGTGGTTCTGTATTGCACCTTCTGTCAGTATTCTGGTGTTATTGCACAGATAAGTATAGAGACGGGAGACACATGTGGTTCTGTATTGCACCTTCTGTCAGTATTCTGGTGTTATTGCACAGATAAGTATAGAGACGGGAGACACATGTGGTTCTGTATTGCACACAGCTGTATTTCCTGCTAAAGTGCTGGACGGCTGTGGTTTCAGGTCTGTGTTATCTTTGTTCTGATGAGAAGATACTCATCCTTAAAACTTATTTATTTAGGAACCGAAATTCCAGTCTCCACCTGAACTGTTGTTTCAGCTGCATTTCAAACAGAAACCCACGTTATTGACATTTATGGGCAAAACGTTCTTACAGTTGCTAGCACTCTGATGTGACACGAACATATACTACAGATAATAACGTTTTCAGATTGCGATTACAATTTAATTTGTGATTTCTGTTTTGACCATAGACTGTATATAGACGGACAATGCTAACACAGACTGTATACAGATGCTAATGCTAACACAGACTGTATACAGATGCTAATGCTAACACAGACTGTATACAGATGCTAATGCTAACACAGACTGTATACAGATGGACAATGCTAACACAGACTGTATACAGATGGACAATGCTAACACAGACTGTATACAGATGGACAATGCTAACACAGACTGTATACAGATGCTAATGCTAACACAGACTGTATACAGATGGACAATGCTAACACAGACTGTATACAGATGCTAATGCTAACACAGACTGTATACAGATGCTAATGCTAACACAGACTGTATACAGATGCTAATGCTAACACAGACTGTATACAGATGCTAATGCTAACACAGACTGTATACAGATGCTAATGCTAACACAGACTGTATACAGATGCTAATGCTAACACAGACTGTATACAGATGCTAATGCTAACACAGACTGTATACAGATGCTAATGCTAACACAGACTGTATACAGATGCTAATGCTAACACAGACTGTATACAGATGGACAATGCTAACACAGACTGTATACAGATGGACAATGCTAACACAGACTGTATACAGATGGACAATGCTAACCGAGTAGAGTAGAGTAGAGTAGAGTAGAGTAGAGTAGAGTAGAGTAGAGTAGAGTAGAGTAGAGTAGAGTAGAGTAGAGTAGAGTAGAGTATGTTCTGTAATGTCCGGACTATAAGCCGCTACTTTTTACTACTTTGATCGCTCCGGCTAATATAGCGATGAAGCTAATATGTGTATTTATTTATTATTATTGTGTATTTTTATTGTGACAGAGTTTGGATGTTTATGAACTTAGACTTATTGTCAACGTAGAGGAAGGTGAATGAGTCATGGAAGCTAACGGTGAATGAGTCATGGAAGCTAACGGTGAATGAGTCATGGAAGCTAACGGTGAATGAGTCATGGAAGCTAACGGTGAATGAGTCATGGAAGCTAACGGTGAATGAGTCATGGAAGCTAACGGTGAATGAGTCATGGAAGCTAACGGTGAATGAGTCATGGAAGCTAACGGTGAATGAGTCATGGAAGCTAACGGTGAATGAGTCATGGAAGCTAACGGTGAATGAGTCATGGAAGCTAACGGTGAATGAGTCATGGAAGCTAACGGTGAATGAGTCATAGAAGCTAACGGTGAATGAGTCATGGAAGCTAACGGTGAATGAGTCATGGAAGCTAACGGTGAATGAGTCATGGAAGCTAACGGTGAATGAGTCATGGAAGCTAACGGTGAAGCTAACGGCGAATGAGTCATGGAAGCTAACGGCGAATGAGTCATGGAAGCTAACGGTGAATGAGTCATGGAAGCTAACGGTGAATGAGTCATGGAAGCTAACGGTGAATGAGTCATGGAAGCTAACGGTGAATGAGTCATGGAAGCTAACGGTGAATGAGTCATGGAAGCTAACGGCGAATGAGTCATGGAAGCTAACGGTGAATGAGTCATGGAAGCTAACGGTGAATGAGTCATGGAAGCTAACGGTGAATGAGTCATGGAAGCTAACGGTGAATGAGTCATGGAAGCTAACGGTGAATGAGTCATGGAAGCTAACGGTGAATGAGTCATGGAAGCTAACGGTGAATGAGTCATAGAAGCTAACGGCGAATGAGTCATGGAAGCTAACGGTGAATGAGTCATGGAAGCTAACGGTGAATGAGTCATGGAAGCTAACGGTGAATGAGTCATGGAAGCTAACGGTGAATGAGTCATGGAAGCTAACGGTGAATGAGTCATGGAAGCTAACGGCGAATGAGTCATGGAAGCTAACGGTGAATGAGTCATGGAAGCTAACGGCGAATGAGTCATGGAAGCTAACGGTGAATGAGTCATAGAAGCTAACGGTGAATGAGTCACAGAAGCTAACGGTGAATGAGTCACAGAAGCTAACGGTGAATGAGTCACAGAAGCTAACGGTGAATGAGTCATGGAAGCTAACGGTGAATGAGTCATGGAAGCTAACGGTGAATGAGTCATGGAAGCTAACGGCGAATGAGTCATGGAAGCTAACGGTGAATGAGTCATAGAAGCTAACGGCGAATGAGTCATGGAAGCTAACGGCGAATGAGTCATGGAAGCTAACGGCGAATGAGTCACAGAAGCTAACGGTGAATGAGTCACAGAAGCTAACGGCGAATGAGTCATGGAAGCTAACGGCGAATGAGTCATGGAAGCTAACGGTGAATGAGTCATGGAAGCTAACGGTGAATGAGTCACAGAAGCTAACGGTGAATGAGTCACAGAAGCTAACGGTGAATGAGTCATGGAAGCTAACGGTGAATGAGTCACAGAAGCTAACGGTGAATGAGTCACAGAAGCTAACGGTGAATGAGTCATGGAAGCTAACGGTGAATGAGTCATGGAAGCTAACGGTGAATGAGTCATGGTTTATCTTCATTCCTGCTTCCTGTTGTGTTTATGTGAACAGCAGAGGGAGACAAGTAGGAAAATCGGGAAATACACAGTTTGTATATGATTAGGGCTCTTGTTAAACTTTATGGACGTATTATTCTGACTTAGTTTTAGGTGGAATGTTATTGTTTTAACACAGGGGAGGTTTATGTCGGGAGCGGGATTCGAACCACCAACCTTCAGCTCTGCACACACTGAATGGACTGGGATAACTCCTGTATCTAGATTGTATTTGATTATACCATTTCAAAGGTTGGTTGTTGTGCCATTTTAGCAGGAAAAAAATGCTTCCAAAAAGAACATTCTATAACAAATTTACAACATTTTGTTTCTTAAAGCTACGGTACCTAATTCATGATCATAAATAGTATATGCCATTAGCGCCAACAGAAAGAGAAGCAAAAGTAAAATGTTTTCTTATAGTGATAAAAGCAACTGTTTTGAGAGCGAGGAACTAGTTTGAAAGTTACATACCCCAGCTTTAAAGCCCACATGGTCAAGTCCTTAATGGTCCTGGTCCTCTTTCTGGTGCCCTGGTTTCTTGTTTGTACTTTGTAAAATTAGGTTTAAATGGAGTGGACTGTAAGGTTTCTATAGAGACAAGTCTTTATGGAGAACTGGAGCAAAGTGCTGCCCCCCGGAGGACGGACGGGGAACTACATCAACAGGAATGACATTTAAAGCACTAGAAACATGCTACTCTGTGTGTGTGTGTGTGTGTGTGAAAGTGTATGTTTTTGTGTGCGTGTGTGCGTGCGTGTGTGTGTGTACGTGTGTTTTTTGTGTTTGTGTGTGTGCGTGTGTGTGTTAATGTGTTTGCGTGCCTGTGTATGGTTGTATATTTGTGTGTAGGGTGTGTATGTTTGTGTATGTGTATGTTTGTTTATGTGTATGTTTGTGTATGTGTATGTTTGTGTGTGTATGTCTGTGTTTGCATGCGTGTGTGTGTTTTTGTGTATGTGTGTGTGTGTGTGTGTGTGTCACACATGTATCACAGTGTCAGTGGTCTCTATTGGATTACAGGCCTCATATCAATACACTGCATGTCCACTGCTGTCTGCTCCACAAATAGCAACACAAAGTAAAAATAGCGCAATCTACTTCATCAAATAGGTCTCGCAGCCTCCCTCTTGCTTTCACACACACAGACACACACACGCACACACACATCCAGATGCACATGCACACACATACACACACATATGCGCATACAAACACACAGAGACACATAGAGAGCGAGACACACACATCCACAGGCACATGCACATACACACACACATCCACATGCACACACACACACACAGGCAGAAAAACATACATACAACATACACGTCCACACATACATACATGTACATACACAAATGGACATACACACACGCACATACGCGCACATAAACACACACACAGACGCATAGAGAACGAGACACACATCTACATGTACATACACATAGACGTACACACACAAATATGCACACACGCATCCTCATACATACATGTACGTACACACACACATCTGGACATACACACACACACACACATATGCACACAAGCGCACACATTCATCCACATACACAGAAGCAAAAATGTCCTTCATACAGTAACAATGGTACAAATACAACAGGGCCCAGTGAACGTACTTGAATACAAAACTTCATCCATGAGCACTTCCCCATCGGGCTTCACTGAGCTAGCGTAGCGGGTTAGCGTCGTCCGTCTCTATATATATCCCTGGCTTATGTGAGCGTTGTCAAAGGTAAGCGATGTGTTTCGGCAGTGAACGATGGCGGATGAGACTGAGCAGAGACTCGTGTTTATGCTGCGTTTGCTTTGACTTTTAGGCTGTCTCCGTTCTGCGCTATTTATAGACCAGGACCAGGACCAGGACCGGGGCCGACCCAGAGACTTCCACATGGACTGTACCACCTCAGACCAGGACCAGGACCAGGACCGGGGCCAACCCAGAGACTTCCACATGGACTGTACCACCTCAGACCAGGACCAGGACCGACCCAGAGACTTCCACATGGACTGTACCACTTCAGACCAGGACAGACCCAGAGACTTCCACATGGACTGTACCACCTCAGACCAGGACAGACCCAGAGACTTCCACATGGACTGTACCACTTCAGACCAGGACAGACCCAGAGACTTCCACATGGACTGTACCACTTCAGACCAGGACCGACCCAGAGACTTCCACATGGACTGTACCACCTCAGACCAGGACCAGGACCAACCCAGAGACTTCCACATGGACTGTACCACTTCCGACCAGGACCGATCCAGAGACTTCCACATGGACTGTACCACCTCAGACCAGGACCAGGACCGACCCAGAGACTTCGACATGGACTGTACCACTTCAGACCTGGACCGACCCAGAGACTTCCACATGGACTGTACCACTTCAGACTAGGACCGACCCAGAGACTTCCACATGGACTGTACCACTTCAGACCAGGACCGACCCAGAGACTTCCACATGGACTGTACCACTTCAGACCAGGACAGACCAGAGACTTCCACATGGACTGTACCACCTCAGACAGGACCAGGACCGACCCAAACTTCCACATGGACTGTACCACTTCAGACCAGGACCGACCCAGAGACTTCCACATGGACTGTACCACTTCAACCAGGCGACCCAGAGACTTCCACATGGACTGTACCACTTCAGACCAGGACAGACCCAGAGACTTCCACATGGACTGTACCACCTCAGACCAGGACCAGGACCGACCCAGAAACTTCCACATGGACTGTACCACTTCAGACCAGGACCGACCCAGAGACTTCCACATGGACTGTACCACCTCAGACCAGGACCAGGACCGACCCAGAGACTTCCACATGGACTGTACCACTTCAGACCAGGACCGATCCAGAGACTTCCACATGGACTGTACCACCTCAGACCAGGACCGATCCAGAGACTTCCACATGGACTGTACCACCTCAGACCAGGACCGACCCAGAGACTTCCACATGGACTGTACCACTTCCGACCAGGACCGATCCAGAGACTTCCACATGGACTGTACCACCTCAGACCAGGACCAGGACCGACCCAGAGACTTCCACATGGACCGTTCCACCTCAGACCTGGACCGACCCAGAGACTTCCACATGGACTGTACCACTTCAGACCAGGACCGACCCAGAGACTTCCACATGGACTGTACCACCTCAGACCAGGACCGACCCAGAGACTTCCACATGGACTGTACCACTTCAGACCAGGACCGATCCAGAGACTTCCACATGGACTGTACCACCTCAGACCAGGACCAGGACCGACCCAGAGACTTCCACATGGACTGTACCACTTCAGACCAGGACCGACCCAGAGACTTCCACATGGACCCTTCCACCTCAGACCAGGACCAGGACCGACCCAGAGACTTCCACATGGACTGTACCACTTCAGACCAGGACCGACCCAGAGACTTCCACATGGACTGTACCACCTCAGACCAGGACCAGGACCGACCCAGAGACTTCCACATGGACTGTACCACTTCAGACCAGGACCGATCCAGAGACTTCCACATGGACTGTACCACCTCAGACCAGGACCGATTCAGAGACTTCCACATGGACTGTACCACCTCAGACCAGGACCGACCCAGAGACTTCCACATGGACTGTACCACTTCCGACCAGGACCGATCCAGAGACTTCCACATGGACTGTACCACCTCAGACCAGGACCAGGACCGACCCAGAGACTTCCACATGGACTGTACCACTTCAGACCAGGACCGACCCAGAGACTTCCACATGGACTGTACCACCTCAGACCAGGACCGACCCAGAGACTTCCACATGGACTGTACCACTTCAGACCAGGACCGATCCAGAGACTTCCACATGGACTGTACCACCTCAGACCAGGACCAGGACCGACCCAGAGACTTCCACATGGACTGTACCACTTCAGACCAGGACCGACCCAGAGACTTCCACATGGACCCTTCCACCTCAGACCAGGACCAGGACCGACCCAGAGACTTCCACATGGACTGTACCACTTCAGACCAGGACCGACCCAGAGACTTCCACATGGACTGTACCACTTCAGACCAGGACAGACCCAGAGACTTCCACATGGACTGTACCACCTCAGACCAGGACCAGGACCGATCCAGAGACTTCCACATGGACTGTACCACCTCAGACCAGGACCAGGACCGACCCAGAAACTTCCACATGGACTGTACCACTTCAGACCAGGACCGACCCAGAGACTTCCACATGGACTGTACCACCTCAGACCAGGACCAGGACCGACCCAGAGACTTCCACATGGACTGCACCACTTCAGACCAGGACCGACCCAGAGACTTCCACATGGACCGTTCCACCTCAGACCAGGACCGACCCAGAGACTTCCACATGGACTGTACCACTTCAGACCAGGACCGACCCAGAGACTTCCACATGGACTGTACCACCTCAGACCAGGACCGACCCAGAGACTTCCACATGGACTGTACCACTTCAGACCAGGACCGACCCAGAGACTTCCACATGGACCGTTCCACTTCAGACCAGGACCGACCCAGAGACTTCCACATGGACTGTACCACCTCAGACCAGGACCGACCCAGAGACTTCCACATGGACTGTACCACTTCAGACCAGGACCGACCCAGAGACTTCCACATGGACCCTTCCACCTCAGACCAGGACCAGGACCGACCCAGAGACTTCCACATGGACTGTACCACTTCAGACCAGGACCGACCCAGAGACTTCCACATGGACTGTACCACTTCAGACCAGGACCGACCCAGAGACTTCCACATGGACTGTACCACTTCAGACCAGGACCGACCCAGAGACTTCCACATGGACTGTACCACTTCAGACCAGGACCGACCCAGAGACTTCCACATGGACTGTACCACTTCAGACCAGGACCGACCCAGAGACTTCCACATGGACTGTACCACTTCAGACCAGGACCGACCCAGAGACTTCCACATGGACTGTACCACCTCAGACCAGGACCAGGACCGACCCAGAGACTTCCACATGGACTGTACCACTTCAGACCAGGACCGACCCAGAGACTTCCACATGGACTGTACCACTTCAGACCAGGACCGACCCAGAGACTTCCACATGGACCATAAAACATTTGTCTCTGTGTGTTAATGTTCTTCAGACAGACCATGGTTTTCACATCGACTCAACAGCGACTCACAACTTTAACACATTACACACACACATCACTGTTGTTCCTGTGGTCTACAATACTACTGGTCTACAAGCAGCAGCAGCAGCAGTAGCAGCAGTAGCAGCAGCAGCAGCAGCAGCAGCAGTAGCAGAAGCAGCAGCAGCAGCAGCAGCAGCAGCAGCAGCAGCAGCAGCAGCAGCAGCAGTAGCAGCAGCAGCAGCAGCAGCAGCAGCAGCAGCAGCAGCAGCAGCAGCAGCAGCAGCAGCAGCAGCAGTAGCAGCAGCAGCAGCAGCAGCAGCAGCAGCAGCAGCAGCAGCAGCAGTAGCAGCAGTAGCAGCAGCAGCAGCAGCAGCAGCAGTAGCAGTAGCAGTAGCAGCAGCAGTAGCAGTAGCAGTAGCAGCAGCAGCAGCAGCATCATCAGGGGAAAGTCCATTACTCAAAATATGGAAAGTTATCGACGTCTCCTGCGCTCTAATTAAAGACTATTTGTAAAAGGTCGACCCAATTATCAGACGAGGAGCTGCACAGACTGTTCACAGACGGACATGCTAACACGCTAACACGCTAGCTCAACAAAGACCAATGGGGAAGTGCTCATGGACGAAGTTTTGCTCCAGCTCTCTCTGGCTCTTATTGACCTATTGCTCAAACATCTGTGGTTTAGTGTTTTCTCTCTGATCCTGGTGTTCCCAGAGGTCTCCCATCACAGCACTAGCCAGGCCCAGCCCTGCTTAGCTTCAGAGGTCTGCGAGTCACTATTTGACGCGTTGTGCTGAGAGCTGATTGGCTGAGGGCGGTGCTCTCTTTTTCACTTTTCTCTCCTAAGAAGCTGAAGCTAAAGATGTGACACAGGCTTACATAAGATAGTGGGGAAATTTCAGTGTTGCAGCGCATCGACAGGACAGTAGTAATAGACACAAAACTAGCTGTACATAGTGTAAAGGATGCACAGACATGGCAGGGTTACAGACAGTGGACATTCTGAAGTTGCAGTATTGCACATGGTTGTGTTTAGTATTTGTGGTCTGAAAGTCAGGTACCCGAGCTTTATCTCCCAAAACATGTTTGTCATTAGAGCCTCCACCCTCAGGAACAGAGCTGTTATGGATCAACACAAGAGCTGCTCCCAACAGGTCACACCAGGGAGAGAGACCAGAGAGAGAGAGACCAGAGAGAGAGAGACCAGAGAGAGAGAGACCAGAGAGAGAGACCAGAGAGAGAGAAAGGCCAGAGAGAGAGACCAGAGAGAGAGAGACCAGAGAGAGAGAAAGGCCAGAGAGAGAGACCAGAGAGAGAGGCCAGAGAGAGAGAGACCAGAGAGAGAGGCCAGAGAGAGAGAGACCAGAGAGAGAGAGACCAGAGAGAGAGACCAGAGAGAGAGAAAGGCCAGAGAGAGAGACCAGAGAGAGAGGCCAGAGAGAGAGAGACCAGAGAGAGAGAAAGGCCAGAGAGAGAGACCAGAGAGAGAGGCCAGAGAGAGAGAGACCAGAGAGAGAGAGACCAGAGAGAGAGAGGCCAGAGAGAGAGAGGCCAGAGAGAGAGAGACCAGAGAGAGAGAGACCAGAGAGAGAGAGACCAGAGAGAGAGGCCAGAGAGAGAGAAACCAGAGAGAGAGAAACCAGAGAGAGAGACCAGAGAGAGAGAAAGGCCAGAGAGAGAGACCAGAGAGAGAGGCCAGAGAGAGAGAGACCAGAGAGAGAGAAAGGCCAGAGAGAGAGACCAGAGAGAGAGGCCAGAGAGAGAGAGACCAGAGAGAGAGAGACCAGAGAGAGAGAGACCAGAGAGAGAGAGACCAGAGAGAGAGAGACCAGAGAGAGAGGCCAGAGAGAGAGAAACCAGAGAGAGAGAAACCAGAGAGAGAGACCAGAGAGAGAGGCCAGAGAGAGAGAGGCCAGAGAGAGAGAGACCAGAGAGAGAGAGACCAGAGAGAGAGAGACCAGAGAGAGAGGCCAGAGAGAGAGAGAAACCAGAGAGAGAGGCCAGAGAGAGAGGCCAGAGAGAGAGAGACCAGAGAGAGAGAGACCAGAGAGAGAGGCCAGTGAGAGAGAGACCAGTGAGAGAGAGACCAGTGAGAGAGAGACCAGTGAGAGAGAGACCAGAGAGAGAGAGACCAGAGAGAGAGAGACCAGAGAGAGAGAGGCCAGAGAGAGAGAGGCCAGAGAGAGAGAGGCCAGAGAGAGAGAGACCAGAGAGAGAGAGACCAGAGAGAGAGAGACCAGAGAGAGAGAGACCAGAGAGAGAGAGACCAGAGAGAGAGGCCAGAGAGAGAGAGACCAGAGAGAGACCAGAGAGAGAGAGGCCAGAGAGAGAGAGGCCAGAGAGAGAGAGACCAGAGAGAGAGAGGCCAGAGAGAGAGAGGCCAGAGAGAGAGAGACCAGAGAGAGAGAGGCCAGAGAGAGAGAGACCAGAGAGAGAGAAAGGCCAGAGAGAGAGAGGCCAGAGAGAGAGAGGCCAGAGAGAGAGAGACCAGAGAGAGAGAGGCCAGAGAGAGAGAGGCCAGAGAGAGAGAGAGACCAGAGAGAGAGAGAGACCAGAGAGAGAGAGACCAGAGAGAGAGAAAGGCCAGAGAGAGAGACCAGAGAGAGAGAGACCAGAGAGAGAGAGACCAGAGAGAGAGAGACCAGAGAGAGAGGCCAGAGAGAAACCAGAGAGAGAGAAACCAGAGAGAGAGACCAGAGAGAGAGGCCAGAGAGAGAGAGGCCAGAGAGAGAGAGACCAGAGAGAGAGAGACCAGAGAGAGAGAGACCAGAGAGAGAGGCCAGAGAGAGAGAGACTAGAGAGAGAGAGACCAGAGAGAGAGGCCAGTGAGAGAGAGACCAGTGAGAGAGAGACCAGTGAGAGAGAGACCAGAGAGAGAGAAACCAGAGAGAGGCCAGAGAGAGAGAGAGGCCAGAGAGAGAGACCAGAGAGAGAGGCCAGAGAGAGAGAGAGACCAGAGAGAGAGAGACCAGAGAGAGAGAGACCAGAGAGAGAGAGACCAGAGAGAGAGAAACCAGAGAGAGAGACCAGAAAGAGAGGCCAGAGAGAGAGAAACCAGAGAGAGAGACCAGGGAGAGAGACCAGAGAGAGAAACCAGAGAGAGAGGCCAGAGAGAGAGAGAGACCCAAAAGTTTTTTTTCTGACTGTAACTGTCATGTCATACTTTGATGTTGTGAATATATATATTGTTTTATTCCTCATGGTTTCATCTCACAGGGTCAGTCTATAGTCTGTATAATCTCAGTCTATAGTCTGTATAATCTCAGTCTATAGTCTGTATAATCTCAGTCTATAGTCTGTATAATCTCAGTCTATAGTCTGTATAATCTCAGTCTATAGTCTGTATAATCTCAGTCTACAGTCTGTATAATCTCAGTCTACAGTCTGTATAATCTCAGTCTATAGTCTGTATAATCTCAGTCTATAGTCTGTATAATCTCAGTCTATAGTCTGTATAATCTCAGTCTATAGTCTGTATAATCTCAGTCTATAGTCTGTATAATCTCAGTCTATAGTCTGTATAATCTCAGTCTATAGTCTGTATAATCTCAGTCTATAGTCTGTATAATCTCAGTCTATAGTCTGTATAATCTCAGTCTATAGTCTGTATAATCTCAGTCTATAGTCTGTATAATCTCAGTCTATAGTCTGTATAATCTCAGTCTACAGTCTGTATAATCTCAGTCCAAAGTAATCTCAGTCTATAGTAATCTCAGTTTATAGTAATCTCAGTCTATAGTCTGTATAGTCTGGATTATAATCCTTGTGGATGTCCCTGAGTGAGTGCGACTTCCCAAACGACACACTCAGTGGTTCTCATGGTGTTCCGCTCTGGTTCAGAGCCTGCTTCTCTTTTCTGCTGGGCCTATTTTTACCCCTGCTCTCCTGATAGCACTTGTGTCACATGGCAGTCACAAAGCATCAGTATTTATAACCTCCGCACAAATATCACCACTCTGGAGATAAAGTCATTCACTTCTGTAGCAGCTTCTCTTACGTCCAATTTTTAACTTTGGCTATTTTTCCCGTTTTTTAAAGTTGTCCAGAGATGCTAACAATGCTAACACAGACTGTATACAGATGCTAATGCTAACACAGACTGTATACAGATGCTAATGCTAACACAGACTGTATACAGATGCTAATGCTAACACAGACTGTATACAGATGCTAATGCTAACACAGACTGTATACAGATGCTAATGCTAACACAGACTATAGGCGAACTGGACCGTTGACTGGTCTCCCCCGGCCTGGACCCATGGGCTGCACTTCCCTCCCTGCCTAGGAGCCTCCTCAGTCCTGGGTCTACAGCCTCAGTCCTGGGTCTACAGCCTCAGTCCTGGGTCTACAGCCTCAGTCCTGGGTCTACAGCCTCAGTCCTGGGTCTACAGCCTCAGTCCTGGGTCTACAGCCTCAGTCCTGGGTCTACAGCCTCAGTCCTGGGTCTACAGCCTCAGTCCTGGGTCTACAGCCTCAGTCCTGGATCTACAGCCTCAGTCCTGGGTCTACAGCCTCAGTCCTGGGTCTACAGCCTCAGTCCTGGGTCTACAGCCTCAGTCCTGGATCTACAGCCTCAGTCCTGGGTCTACAGCCTCAGTCCTGGGTCTACAGCCTCAGTCCTGGATCTACAGCCTCAGTCCTGGATCTACAGCCTCAGTCCTGGATCTACAGCCTCAGTCCTGGGTCTACAGCCTCAGTCCTGGATCTACAGTCTCAGTCCAGGATCTACAGTCTCAGTCCTGGGTCTACAGCCTCAGTCCTGGGTCTACAGCCTCAGTCCTGGGTCTACAGCCTCAGTCCTGGGTCTACAGCCTCAGTCCTGGATCTACAGCCTCAGTCCTGGGTCTACAGCCTCAGTCCTGGATCTACAGCCTCAGTCCTGGGTCTACAGCCTCAGTCCTGGGTCTACAGCCTCAGTCCTGGACCAACACAAATACATAGGATAGAATATTTTTTATTTGCCTCCTCTTTCTCATTATAAACCGGGACGTCTGTCTTAACAGTGGTTGTTGCGTGTGTTTCTGGTCGGCCTGGGTCGGCCTGGGTCTGTGTCGCTGCAGCTGATGTGGCTGTGAGTCCTCCACACTCTGCCTTATGTAATCTCAGAGACAGACAGAAATAACCCAGACTGTGCCACTGCGCCCTGCGGTGGACAGCAGTGGTACTGCACACACACAGCACAACACACCAGCTGCTTGGTATTTATGGGGTTAGAGTAAATGTTTTAGATTTGTTGATTCTGAACTTTGGTCTCAGCTGCGATTACTGTCTTTTTGAAGTCCGTTGTAACCGGTTTAGACGTGAGAGAGTCTAAATAGAGCTTTCTGATTCTGATAGTGTAAGATTGTGTTGGTCTTTAAAGCTGCACTAACTGACTTTATTTTTGTGTTCATTACTAAAGTCTATCCATGTCCATGCGGTGCTTTGGGATAAACGTCCTTTAGAAGAAAAAGTAGCGCAGATTTGTGCTGGTGTGACATTATATTTTAGATGGAGTTTTGATGAAACAAGGAAGAGAATGTGTTTCGGGTCGCAGATTGTGACCAATCACAGCGCACCACTGGCCCCCACTTTCGTGAGAAATCTACAGGTCCGTTAGCATAGACGGCTGAGTTAGCACAACAAGCGGCGGAGCTAACCTGAAGCTTCCTCGTCTTCGTCACCGGTTACTGCTTACACAGCGAGACAGCCAAAAGAAAGTCTTGTTCCTCCGCACTTCCTGGTTCTATCGTTCTATGGTCACGCCATCCACGTGCAAATCCATATCCATGTATTATCCATATTGGGAGACGCTAGCTCCAACAACAACAGTGTGTGTGTGTGTGGGGGGCGATAGCTTCGTGGGTGCGGGGAGGGGAGCAGAAAGAGAGAGGCCAGAGAGTCCACGGCTTCAAAATCCCAAAGTCAGTTTGTGCAGATTTAATCCTTGGACCAATCGACATGAAACAAAAACTGTCACAAAGTTACTCATATTCTTTGTCAACTATATCATTTGCCTATTATTAACTTGTCTCTCTGGTCTCTCTCTGGTCTCTCTCTGGTCTCTCTCTGGTCTCTCTCTGGTCTCTCTCCCTGGTCCCTCTCTGGTCTCTTACTGGTTTCTCTCTGGTCTCTCTCTGGTCTCTCTCTCTGGTCTCTTACTGGTTTCTCTCTGGTCTCTCTCTGGTCTCCCCCTGGTCTCTCTCTGGTCTCTCTCTGGTCTCCCCCTGGTCCCTCTTTGGTCTCTCTCTGGTCTCCCCCTGGTCTCTCTCTGGTCTCTCTCTGGTCTCCCCCTGGTCTCTCTGATAGCATTATATGACAATAATAATCCTCTCCCTCAGTAATCGTTTATGTCACACTCACCATTTTGGGCTAAAACCAGACAAAATGTTTCCACTTAGATTCTTGTTTAACAGCGTCTTCTTTTTGGTGAAATCCTTGTTCCGAGTAAAACCAGCTAAACTCTGTATTACTTCCCCTGGTGTGGATCGGTCACAGGCTGATCCCAGAGCGGCGGCCATCTTGGTTGCCAACGTAAACACAGATAAACATCACTGACTAACTACTTTGTTTTTGTGTTTTTGAATTGTGAAGAGAGACCAGAGAGAGAGACCAGAGAGAGAGACCAGAGAGAGAGACCAGAGAGAGAGACCAGAGAGAGAGACCAGAGAGAGACCAGAGAGAGAGACCAGAGAGAGAGACCAGAGAGAGAGACCAGAGAGACCAGAGAGAGAGACCAGAGAGACCAGAGAGAGAGACCAGAGAGAGAGACCAGAGAGAGAGACCAGAGAGAGAGAGACCAGAGAGAGAGACCAGAGAGAGAGACCAGACCAGAGAGAGAGACCAGAGAGAGAGACCAGAGAGAGAGACCAGAGAGAGAGACCAGAGAGAGAGACCAGAGATAGAGAGACCAGAGAGAGAGACCAGAGAGAGAGACCAGAGAGAGAGAGAGACCAGAGAGAGAGACCAGAGAGAGAGAGACCAGAGAGAGAGACCAGAGAGAGAGACCAGAGAGAGACCAGAGAGAGACCAGAGAGAGAGACCAGAGAGAGAGACCAGAGAGAGAGACCAGAGAGAGAGACCAGAGAGAGAGACCAGAGAGAGAGACCAGAGAGAGAGACCAGAGAGAGAGACCAGAGAGAGAGACCAGAGAGAGAGACCAGAGAGAGAGAGAGAGAGAGACCAGAGAGAGAGAGAGAGAGACCAGAAGAGAGAGACCAGAGAGAGAGAGACCAGAGAGAGAGACCAGAGAGAGAGAGAGAGAGAGACCAGAGAGAGAGAGAGACCAGAGAGAGAGAGAGACCAGAAGAGAGAGAGAGACCAGAGAGAGAGAGACCCAGAGAGAGAGACCAGAGAGAGAGAGAGACCCAGAGAGAGAGAGAGACCAGAGAGAGAGACCAGAGAGAGAGAGAGACCAGAGAGAGAGACCAGAGAGAGAGACCAGAGAGAGAGACCAGAGAGAGAGAGACCAGAGAGAGAGAGACCAGAGAGACCAGAGAGAGACCAGAGAGAGAGAGAGAGACCAGAGAGAGAGAGAGACCAGAGAGAGAGACCAGAGAGAGACCAGAGAGAGACCAGAGAGAGAGACCAGAAGAGAGAGACCAGAGAGAGAGACCATAGAGAGAGACCAGAGAGAGAGAGGAAACCAGAGAGAGAGACCAGAGACCAGACCAGAGAGAGAGACCAGAGAGACCAGAGAGAGAGACCAGAGAGAGAGAGAGAGACCAGAGAGAGAGACCAAGAGAGAGAGAGAGAGAGAGTCCAGAGAGAGAGACCAAGAGAGAGACCAGAGAGAGAGACCAGAGAGACCAGAGAGAGAGACCAGAGAGAGAGACCAGAGAGAGAGACCAGAGAGAGAGACCAGAGAGAGAGACCAAGATAGAGAGACCAGAGAGAGACCAGAGAGAGAGAGACCAGAGAGAGAGACCAGAGAGAGAGAGAGACCAGAGAGAGAGACCAGAGAGAGACCAGAGAGAGAGACCAGAGAGGGAGACCAGAGAGAGAGACCAGAGAGAGAGACCAAGAGAGAGACCAGAGAGAGAGACCATAGAGAGAGAGAGAGAGACCAGAGAGAGAGACCAGAGAGAGAGACCAGAGAGAGAGACCAGAGAGAGAGAGAGACCAGAGTGAGAGAGAGAGAGAGAGACCAGAGAGAGAGAGAGACCAGAGAGAGAGAGAGACCAGAGAGAGAGACCAGAGAGAGAGAGAGAGAGAGAGAGACCAAGAGAGAGAGAGACCAGAGAGAGAGACCAGAGAGAGAGAGACCAGAGAGAGAGAGAGACCAGAGAGAGAGACCAGAGAGAGACCAGAGAGAGAGACCAGAGAGAGACCAGAGAGAGAGACCAGAAGAGAGAGACTGAGGCCAGAGCGAGAGAGAGACTGAGGCCAGAGCAAGCGAGAGACTGAGGCCAGAGCGAAAGAGGGACTGAGGCCAGAGCGAGAGAGAGACTGAGGCCAGAGCGAGAGAGAGACTGAGGCCAGAGCGAGAGAGCGACTGAGGCCAGAGCAAGCGAGAGACTGAGGCCAGAGCGAAAGAGAGACTGAGGCCAGAGCGAGAGAGCGACTGAGGCCAGAGCAAGCGAGAGACTGAGGCCAGAGCAAGAGAGAGACTGAGGCTAGAGCAAGCGAGAGACTGAGGCCAGAGCGAGAGAGAGACTGAGGCCAGAGCGAGAGAGCGACTGAGGCCAGAGCGAGAGAGCGACTGAGGCCAGTGCGAGAGAGCGACTGAGGTCAGAGCAAGCGAGAGACTGAGGCCAGAGCGAGAGAGCGACTGAGGCCAGAGCGAGAGAGCGACTGAGGCCAGTGCGAGAGAGCGACTGAGGCCAGAGCGAGAGAGCGACTGAGGCCAGAGCGAGAGAGAGACTGAGGCCAGAGCGAGCGAGAGACTGAGGCCAGAGCGAGAGAGAGACTGAGGCCAGAGCAAGAGAGAGACTGAGGCTAGAGCAAGCGAGAGACTGAGGCCAGAGCGAGAGAAAGACTGAGGCCAGAGTGAGAGAGACTGAGGCCAGAGCGAGAGAGCGACTGAGGTCAGAGCGAGAGAGCGACTGAGGTCAGAGCAAGCGAGAAACTGAGGCCAGAGCGAGAGAGAGACTGAGGCCAGAGCAAGCGAGAGACTGAGGCCAGAGCGAGAGAGCGACTGAGGCCAGAGCGAGAGAGCGACTGAGGCCAGAGCGAGAGAGACTGAGGCTAGAGCAAGAGAGAGACTGAGGCCAGAGCAAGCGAGAGAGAGACTGAGGCCAGAGCGAAAGAGAGACTGAGGCCAGAGCGAAAGAGCGACTGAGGCCAGAGCGAGAGAGACTGAGGCCAGAGCGAGAGAGAGACTGAGGCTAGAGCGAGAGAGAGACTGAGGCCAGAGCGAGAGAGCGACTGAGGCTAGAGCGAGAGAGAGACTAGTGAGAGACCATAGATGAAGCAGAGAGACCTCATAGAGACGCCATCAGTTAAAGAGTAAAAACATTTGTACCTGAATGAGTAAACGTTAAACAACTATAGATAAATAAATGTGACTCACTTGAGCAGAGCAGGCTCAGAGGAAAGAGCAAAAGAAAACTTGTGAGTTTTGAGCGATTCTTTTCCTTTTCTTGAAGAAATGTGGTTTTCTCAATTTGAAATGAGTTTTTAAAGAGAGCCTGACCCGTCTGTGACGCCTACAATCAGTGCTTCTCAAACTGCCGTACCCTCCCACCGGTACATAGGAGATTACATGTATTGTATTCTTTATCATGGCCATGTATTTAATGTTAGTATGTGAGTTTTTGATTAAGATTAAGATTAAGATTAAGAGATCCTTTATTCGTCCCACAGTGGGGAAATTTCGGTGTTGCATCACAGGTTATAGATCAGTAGGACAGAGGAGCACACGGCACTCGTTAAGTGAACAATAGCTGTACTAATTAAAATAAAACAGAATCTCTGACTCTTGCATCAATAATAAGTATACAATCTCTATCTTGAAAATAATAATAGATGTAAAAATGTAACATTTGGCAAAATAAGAGGCAAGTATAAAGTTCTGTGTATTCTAGTGCAAGTAGATAGCAGATAGAAGGTCCTGGGTTCGAATCCCGGTCGGAACAGAGCCTTTCTGAGTGG